TACTGTATGTTTGGAGTGTTTCCCTTTTTCTTTTTGAATCCCCCTAAGGGGAGTTTTTAATTGGTTTTTTCACAGGACTACAAACTATAACTGAAAATATAGGAAGGGAAACTACATCTAAGGAGAAAGGAAAGAAACCAACTAATAACTAAAACCCCAAGAATGGGAGATCAATACATCAGCTTATCTCAATGTTAGTCTAAAATGCTAGTAATACATTGAACATAGTCAGTTATGCTAGGTTATTTATCTTTTAACCATCCATTTATCTGTTTCATGAAACCCTCAAAGCATCCCAAAATTATTACAGAGTTTTCAGGCACAATTCAGAATCCTTCAGCCTCTATTTTCTCTTGTGTTTTCTTATCCTCAATTTATATAGACTTTTGGGGGCAGCCACCCCCTTTTCAGAAAGAGAGTCCTCATCAGAAGACACCGAGCCTCACTCGCCATCTGATTTGCTTTCTTCTTCCTCCTCCTTGTCCTCAGCTGGTTCCCCCAGCTGTGTTCGCAGAAACTCACGTGCTTTAGGAACAGAGTCAATCTTTTCTTTTTTATCGTGGAACTTGAAAATGATGCCTTCTGGAATTAACCATCTGTAACTGATGCCATTTGTTCTCTTCTATAGTCTCTTCTATAGAATTATGAAGACAGGCTCATTTTGAATCCAGCAAAACTGCAGGCTTACGATGACAAAAATCAATGCCAGGCTAAACATTGACTCCCTGAGGGACTCTGGTGGGACAAACTCAGGGCTCCAGTTCAATGTGTTATGTGCCGTCAAGTTGTTTCTGGCCCTTTGAATTCATGATCTTCAAAATGTCCTAGCTTCCACAGCCTTGCTCAGGTCTTGCAAACTGTTAAGTAACAAATGGTACAGTTAAAAAGGAATAGGGAAAATGCAATTGAAAATCTGCGTTGAGAAGAAAGAAGCTGGAAGATGATTACCCGGGCCTGGCGGGCCTGTGGCTGGTTAGGTTAGGCAGCCGGGTCACACAGTCTGTATTCTTGACTGGTGGCAATTTTTAAAAAGAGAAGGCTGGAGAGACCCCATTGCAGTGAGCTGGGCAAAGGGGGAGTTGAAGAGTGCTGGGAAGAGAATAGTGGGAGCAAGCCTAAACCCTGCTCAAATCCCTCATGCTGATGGTCAGCATTTTTGTGCAGGGCTTGCAGTAGAGCCTTGGTCATGAATACATTTTTTGCAGGAGCCTCAGTTTGAAATGAGCAAAACTGCAGGGGAGCTGATCTGGATAGCCCAAGCTAGCTGGATCTCATCAGATCTGGGAAGCTAAGCAAGGTGAGCCCTGGCTGGTATTTGGATGGGAGACCTCCATGGAATACCAGGGTTGTGACATGGAACCAGGCAATGGGAAACCACCTCTGAATGTCTCTTGCCTTGAAAACCCTACGGGGTCGCCATAAGGCAGCCGTGACTTGACAGCACTTTCCGTCACCACAAGCATATGGGGCAGCGCTATTATCTTAATTTCCTAGTTACTCTTCAATGAACTCACACAAAAGCAAAGGGCTCCCTCCCCCCATTTAAGCAGTAATGGAGGCTTTGCAGAGATCTTTTTGTAACATCTTTTTGTGATTTACAGTTACACAAGTTTTCACAAGGGACTAACAATGTTTCATAGGGTAAGGGAGGACAACATATATAATTCTTTAAATCGCACACTTTTTGCAGCCGACGGGGATTTTGTTCAGCTGTAAGCTTCAGGCGTGTTCCGGACGGCATTCACTTTTTCGGCGTGGCTAGATGACGTCAGTTCTTCCAGGGCTGCTTTTTGAGTCATAGTGCCGCACTGCCACCACCTGGCCGGATTGGCTCATCACAGGCTTCTTAATGCCGAAGAGGTCTTTTTCCCAGGCTTCCGAGCTGGACCTTCCGTTCGCTGGCTAACACCTCCCCCACGGGGGTTTAGTGTGCCCACCCTCTCTATGGAGTGGTACCCATTTTATCTACTCACTGAAGCTTTCGAACCGCTGGGTGGACAGTGAGCTGGGGACAAGGCTGGTAGCTCACACCAGCATGGGCTAGAACTGACAGCAGCACTGTTCAGTTCAGATGTTAACCAGAGGATAAATCCTCTGACTATCATCATCATCATCTGTCATGCCTTGGAAGGAGCAGCTGAAATGCTTAATAAAGGGCAGGGATCTGCCAAAGTATCTGTTAATGTTCCTGCTGGGGCAAAGGGGATTAAACAACTGTGTATTGTGTGGGAGGTACAATCAGAGGTGCATAATAAGGGGAGTTTTCTTGTGCTCAGGAGCTCTGCTAGAGCCCAGAGAAGACATTGAGGCCTGTCACTTCTTTGTCCTAAGAGCAGAGTACCACAAAGTGTTAATATGGGTGATCAATTACTTCTGTTCATTTCAATAGGCAGAGTCTGGTACCTAGTTTAAGCCCCTGGGACTGCCAATTGCCTATCTCAAGAATGCAATATACACAGTGGGGACAATCTGCTGCTGAGTTCTCCTGCAAATGGTCCTGATCATACACAGCTCCCAAATGGGACATGTGCAGGGAACATCTCTGTGGATTATGCCTGAAACTTGCATAGCTGATATGGCATCACTTTAGCCAGGACTTCTTTAATGTATTAAACAATTCTAGCTTTCACCTGGCATTGCTGTTTTTCTACAATTCTCTGACCTTTCATGACTGTGTTTAGGATAGTAAAGGAGAATATCAGAAAATGGCAAAGAAGATTGCTAAATTCTATTAAATTTTTTCACAATATTTCCTGCAGAACTCTGGTGCTCCTCAAAAATGTATTAGGGAATCCTCCAGGAGATCAGTAATGAGGGGAGGGGACATCTTTTCATATAGGACAACTTGTCCACCACTATTAATCTCCCCCTGTATTGTGCACCCAGAGAAGCATGTGATGTGTTCAAGGTTAACTTCCAGGCTTAATTGAAATACCTGTTTGAATGGAATGTGTAATTTAAAATATTCCCTAGAAATCTGATACCCACTAGAATTCTTTGGAAGAATAGCCACCATAGCATCCCTCAAAGTACCAACATTTAAAACCAGGAGTACACGTCTACACTACCCTCTCCGACAATAGTAAGAGCAACATTAGGAGCCATCTGTCACAAAAGTGGGTCCTCAGGATCTAAGCCTTTGCATTTTCTTTGGAATTGTTAAGCCCTAAATTCTCTCTGGATAGTTTCCAAGCTACAAGGTGTCAAACTAAGGAGCACCTGTAGTTAGTTAGCAGTCAGCTTGATAGTGGCCAGCTGTGAACTATCAAAACAACTGACATCTTATCATCTTGACAGTTCAGGATCTAGACCAATTGACTGAGGTCTGTAATTGGTCAGTCAATCACAAGTTTGACAGCTGAGTTAGGATAGAATCAGGAGTCAGGAACCACAGAGAGAGAAGACAGGAGGGGATGTCAGAGATGATGGGGGAAGTGCCTTTTGCACAAAGGACTTGTGAGCCTGGAGGGCTGTCACTCTCTTCAGTAATTTCTGCTTCTGCATCAGTGCTGCTGGGAAGACTGCTGCACAGGGTCAGTGTTAGTTGTTAGAAAGTTAGGTTTGTTATGTTTGTCTTTGTTTCAGTATACACACCCTTTCTTGTATGTTTTTATATGTATTATATTTTTGCAAATACATTTTTGATTCTGTTTTAACTAACTGGAATGAGTTACTGGCCCACAACCCAGGTTTATGGTTAAGTCCAGTGCTTAAAATCACACTACCAAAGAAGATTGATTTTTTTGAAGATTACCTAAGTTTTCTTATCACCAAGCTAACCTAAACAAATAAACCTTTGGGGGTACACCCCAGGGTTGTGACACCATCCAAGCCTGTAATGCTAAGTGCACTTACTTGAAAGTCAACCAGTGAGGCCTATTTTCATACACACAGGTTTAGGATTCAAATGCCAAGTTATTTACTACATACAGGGCATGTGCCAGCCAGCCAACCTTTCTCCCAGCTTTACTAGATGGAGTCCTGTTGTAAAACCAACCATAACACGGACTCTTCTTAGAAAATATCAACATAAATCAAGTACACTCAAGTCACCACTGAAATGTAGAAATCAGTATTAGCCATTCTTGGAAGTTGTGTGAAAAGCTGTATATTATGTTCCATATATTTCATCTTACTTGAAGTATCCCGGGCTGCTTCACATATGCATGAATGTCAGTTAATGACTGCAACATCAAGTGATAACTTAATGAGTAGACCTCACAAGACACACTTTTTGGTTATTTCTTCAAGGAATAGTAACATGGATCACATTCATGAAAGGAGCAAAAGGAGCAAAGCCAAGCAATTTAGATATTATTTTTTACATATTCAGATGATTTCCCAAGTATGTGGGGAAAGATGTTTAATAAATTAACCAGAGGGGAAAAATACTAAAAATTGGCTTGATGGGAGAGTGTTTTCTTTAGGAGGCACAGAATGTTGAGGGCAGCTCATTAGAGGAAGAAACAACAGGAAACAGGAGAATTATCTTATTGAGAGTTTACAAAAGACCAAAGGGAAGATGATGATGAGGGGTAAGATTTCCAAATTGTTTCTCCTTTCCATTGTCTCTTCATGAGTCCCCAGCTTGTTCCCTCTAATACTAAACTCCATACTCAAGTCCTTATCACTAGTTCAGATACTTTATTAATGAACACTTAGGAGGCTTCACCCAAATATTTCCTCCCAGGGAATACTACTACTTTAGGAAACCATCACTACACATGTGACATGAGCAACCATTAGGACAATCTCCACCTTCCTGTCTGACCTATTTGCATGCCTCACAACTAACACTATGGAAAGGGACAAAGACTTCCAGGAGGACTGGGGACTCAAGGGGTTAAAAATGAAATAGACTCTCTAGAAGTGAGCAACAATTGCCCGGGCAGCCACATACACCTTCCTGCTAGCATTTTGCTAGCCCACTTCAAAGGTAGAATAATATATAGAACACCTTGGAGCTAGAAGAGAAATCCCAACAAGGCCAGACACACATTTCCAATATGACCTTTATTGAGCACGAACTGCTGTGACTGCTTTACATCGAACAACAAAAGGTTGCATACTGTGCGTGTCAAGGTAGGTTCTCCCATGAACAAAAAGTCCATCTTAATTGCACCAGTGAGGTAAACATAATTATTAAGTAGCTTAAGGCTAGGAGAATTCTGGGTGGTTGTTGTTGGTTTTTTTTCATTCATTCTCTTATTATTGTTTATTTGTATTTGGCTCAGTTGGTTCTTTGCATAATACATCTTAAGACATTCCTCAGAAACGTCCCATCAGCAGCTTAGGAAATTCAGCAACTTCGTCTGTAAAGATAACAGCTCATGCATTTTTTTTAATTCCCCAAGTTCTGCAGAGGGAGTGCATCTTGGGCTTGCATGCATTCCTCCCCCCCAAACCCTGGGTATTGCACAAAAATAAATCAAAAATAAAATAGAGTGTTTCTGGAGACTTCACGAGAGAACCCTTTCTGCTTTGAAGCTGTCACTTTCATGCATTTTGCGGCTGTCATATGGCTTAACCTTTTGCACCGACCCAAGCTCTTTTGAAGGGAAAAAAATTGGTTATCCTAGTCACTCTCTTTAACTTCTTTCACTACAGCATGTGAAGTGACCTTCTCTACTTTCTTGGTGGACACCAATTTCTCAGCAACCGTTTCTTCATGCTCTTCCACCTTCTGGGTGACAGTCACTGACTTGGTGATGTACGTGGTTGTCCCATCATCCCCTTCACTAGTGATTTTCTCTACTTTTTTGGTTACCACAACTTTCTCTTCACTCTTCCCCTTCTTCTCCTCTTCAGATGGGCTAACATCCAGGCCATTGGTGAAAACACCTTTGTCTTCCTCCTCCACTTGCTTGGCCTTGGAGCCTTCATCCTCTTCTTTCTCATCCACCTCTCCATTTATAGCTATGTCTTCTTTTGTGGATTCCTTTGATGCCTTCTCACTTTTTTCTTTCTTCTCTTCTTTGTGTTCTTTCTCGGTACCAACTTTTGCTGCCTTGGAAGCTGGGATAGCCTCTTCTTTCACTGGGGATCCTACTTTCTCTGGAGATGCTGCTTTATCTGGTGTACTGGCCTTCTCTGGAGTCCCAGCTTTCTCTGGGGATGCTGCTTTATCTGGTGTACCTGCCTTCTCTGGAGTCCCAGCTTTCTCTGGCGATGCTCCTTTTTCTGGTGTACCTGCTTTCTCTGGAGTATCTGCCTTTTCTGGAGATCCTTTTTCTGGAGTCCCAGCCTTCTCTGGAGACCCTTTTTCTGGAGTCCCAGCCTTCTCTGGAGATGCCTTCTCTGGAGTCCCAGCCTTCTCTGGAGATGCCTTCTCTGGAGTCCCAGCCTTCTCTGGAGAACCCTTTTCTGGGGTACCAGCTTTTTCTGGTGAATCTCCTTTCTCAGGTGAACCTGCCTTTGCTGGAGACCCTGCCTTCTCCTCTTCTTCAGCTTCCTCCTCTCCAGCTCCCTGCTCATCCTCCTTCTGGTCTTCACTTTCGCCTTCAGCTTCTTTCTTCTCCTCTGCCTCTTCTGCTGCAGGAGACTTTGGTGGAGATTTTGGTGGAGATGTTTTCACCTTTTCTACCTTCACAGGTGCAATGGCTTCCTCCACTACACCTTCAGCTTCAGCCTTCTCTTCTGACTCCTGTTCTTCCTTGGTCTCCTCTTCAGCTTCCTGTGCTTCTCCCTCACCTGCCTCCTCTTCTCCTTCTTCCTCACCCTCATCCTTTTCACTCTTTTCCTCTTCTTTTTCAGATCCTCCTTCTTCCGCTTCATCAGATTTTGCATCCTCTTCTTCCTCACCACCCTCCTCTTCTCCTTCTTCCTCTGCTTCTGGGGCAGCTGCTTCAACCTCAGCTTTAGCCTCGGCTACTATTTCTTCTTCCACAGCTTCTCCCTCCTCTGCCTCTTCCTCCTCTTCTTGTGGTGCTCCGGCAGCCAGTTCTTCAGCCATAGCCGCCAAGGCTTCATCCAGTTCAGATTTCTCATCCTCTACTTTTGTCTCCTCAATTATTTCTTCTACAAACTTGTGTTGGACCTTTAGTTTTGGAGCTTCAACTTTTGATTTCTGTATTTTGCTACTTGATATTGTTACAGAGGGTTGCCTGTGTGTAAACATTGGCCCAGTGATGCTTCCAGAGAAGGCACTAAATCTTGTCTCTTCACCCTCAAGAAGTTTCCTAGAGGAATAAGAAAGGAAAAATTAACATATATTGCTCTTATCTTGATCTGAAGATGAGAATGAACAGGTGTCTTTGCAAGTACCATTTTTTTAAAAAAAGTATTTTTAGCAACTGGAAGGTAGAATTTTTGAATTTCTTCCCACACTTGACAAATCACTTCTTTCTCCTGAACAGTTTTCCTGACATGGATAGAAGAGGTACTACTGGATAGCAGAATAAACTGTGTTTTGGGGGTCTGTAACAGCCCCCTAGACATTACCTTAAAGCAGGAATATCACTGCTTTAAGAATATCCACCTGTGACTTTTAGATATTACACCAATCCTGATTCTCATCTCAGACCAGTTTGCATGCCCAGCAACCAATATCTGCTGTACTTAATTGGCCTGGAGGCAAAGGGCCATTATGAACATCAGTGGCAACCCATTCCAACCAAGTGGCATATGTTTTGCAGCTCATTCACTTCAGAGAGTATTGTCCATGTTTTCTCAAAGTTAAAGAAGGCCCATCTATTGGAATTATTGAGGCCTGCTACTGAGTGAGCACCTTGATATTACTTTATTTCTTTTTTACTCCATTTATATCCTACTTTTCTCCCCAATGGGGCTCAAAGTGGCTTATAACATTCTCCCGTCCTCCATTTTATCCTCACAATAAACTAGTGAGGTAGGTTAGGCTCAGAGTGTTTGATTGGCTCAAGGTCACCCAGCAGGCTTCCATGGCAGAGGGGGGATCTGAACTCGGGTCTGCCAGATCCTAGCCTGACACTAGAACCACTATACAGCACTGGTTCTCTTTAAAAAGGCTATTAGTTGCATACATGATACAGCCAAAAGTAAGAATGCTGCAGTCCCATTGCTTTCAGAGGGACATATTTCCCTGATGCTGCCTTGTCTTCCCCTCAGGAAGGACAAGAAATGAAATCAAATTGCTGTCTTGATAAGTTGTGCACCTTCCTTTCCCTCCCACCATTCAACTCCCCCCCCTCTCTTTTCCCTTTTGTCTCTATTTATGCCTGGGGATGGGAAGGGGTTGTGTGTGTGCACGAGGGATACATTGACTGTTTAAAACAAGACATAAATATAAAAAATAAACTAGGAAAAGTGAGGCAGCAGCCCCAGGTACCTCTAAAAGGTAGCACATTGTCAGTTATTTGTGGTAATAGTTCTATTGTGGGCTAACTTTTTTTTTTTGGGAGGGGTATTTCAGTTGTCTGCCACCAAAAAGGTACTGAGCCAGCAATGTATTTGATGCCATTTGCATCATTTATATTCCTTTTTAGCTGGATAAAAAAGTAATTGTGTTTCATCCTAACAACCCTTAGGCTGAGAGAGTGTGACTGGCCCAAGGTCACCCAGCGAGCTTCCATGACACAAATGGAGATTTATACCTAGGTCTCTCAGCTAGTAGTGTGACACCCTTAACTATTACACTACACTGGCTCTTATATTTCTGAATATGTTACAAAGCAAGACAAATAGTGTATCCATATCCCGGCTCTGAAATTAAAAATCAAATTAAAATGGAAGTTAAAATGAGTCAGCATTTACTGCTAAAATCCATTGCCTCTGCTTTGATTACTGATACAGGATGGAATACAGAATATTTGCTTCTTGTCTATGCTTTCCTGGTGTAGATATCTTGCCCCTAGTTTTATAGTGGATTTTAAAAATGCTAAAGATTCATATTGTTTCACAAGAAAGTGATTAATAGTGTGGTTCTGTGCAGAGTTATTCCAGACAAAGACCACTGAATTCAATCACTTTAGAGTAACTGCATAGGATTGCACTGTAAGAGTTAATTTTACTCATAATTAACCTATGGAATTCACTACCATAAGACACTGAGATGGCAATAAGCTTGTCTTTCACAGAGGAATGGTCACAAAGAACAAGTTTATGGCTAAATGGAGCCTCCATTTTAGTGCATCTGTTCAGAAGCAGTGAATAATACCAGTAGTTGGGATAGTGTCAGCTAGCTGCCATATTTCATTTGTATGTGTCCTTTCCTGACTGTGGTGCTATGGCACATGCTTGCTCGCTTGCTGTAAACAGCGATAGGGAGGCGCTCCTGAGACCGTGCGAACTGGCGCTGCCAGACTGGGTTATCTGACTAACCTTGAGGAAGAGGGAGGGCTTGTGTTCAACCGTTGGTGTGAATCTTTCTGCTCTCATGAGGCACGGAGGCTCTCCCATTCATTATGTAACCTCCCGTCGGTAGAATTCCCACGCGCACGCTTGGAGTTCATTTGCTTAGCCATTTGCAGCATCACACTATATGAAGCGATGCATCCACCCCCATTGTTATTCCTAACAATATACCTGTCAACGGACCTGTAGTCTAATAAAGTATAGCGATTCCCTGGAAACGTGTGTGGAGATTTACTTGCTGTTGAACCTGACAGAAAGTAGGTGAGCTACAGCAAGAATGGGCTGTGGCCCTCATACACTGCTCGTGAATTTCTCGGTGTCTGGTTGGCCAACATGGAAAACAGGATGCTGGAATAGGTAGACTTTTGGTTTTAGGAGGGTTCTTGTCTTCCTACGTGCCTTTACTTGGAAGTGGATCCCACTGATTTCAGTGGGACATTCCCAAATAAGAAAGCAACCTAAGATTTCCAATGATTGAGTCTGGAGTAGTGCAAGTTTGCTCAGTAGCACCATATTTGCTTTAAAGAACACGGCTACTTTCACCTGAGGCACATGCCTATTGCAATCAGCAGGTTGGAATTCTGGCCACTGTTGACTTAAAAGGAGTGGGGCATGAACCCCTGGATTCTACAGATGGCTCCACTGCAACCTTCAAATCCCCTTCAGAAGTCATCTTGCTGATATCAAGAAGGCAACTCAAAGAAAACATCTTGTGTTGGAGCTCAAGTGATTTCTACCACCTCACTCCCCATAAGATACAGAATACCCAACTGAAATAAAAATAAGCAAAAATTAACACAACTGATGCCTACGAGTAAAGATTCCAGTAGAAACAATCCCTTCCTCTCTGCCAGTTAAGACTGGTCAGCAGGGCAGAGAGCCTCTTCAAAGTAGCCACCAAGAAATGTCTTTTATGCTGGAGAAGAGCAAGACCTTTTTAGTCATTTCTCCCCGCTGTGGAATGAACTCCTGCAAAATCCTCCCTTATTAATATTCTGAAAACTACATAAACCCTACTTTTTATAGGAGAAGCTCAGAAGGTAGTGCTGGTGGGTTGTGGATTTCTTCTTGAGTTATGTGCATATCACATACACTGCCTTGCTGAAATACTCCCAACTGCCGTGCGAGGCAGGCTAGTATTCTGTTTAGTATGTTTTTCTTTAAAAAGTCCACCATTCCTTCAAGGAGCTCAGGGTGGCATACATAGTGGCATACCCTCCTCTATTTTGCCCTCCAAACAACCCCATGAGGTAGGCGAGTCTGAGCCAGAATGACTGGCTCAAGATCACCCAGCAAGTTTCATGGCAGAGTGTGGATTTGAACTCAGGACTACCAGGCTATAATCCAGCACCCTAACTACTGCACCACACTGGCTCTCTTATTTTCTCCACATTGCAGAGGGGGAGTCTGAGGCAGAGAGAGAGGCTTGCCTAAAACTACATGAGATAATAGTAGTGAAAAGATTGGAATGAGAAACTTCCTGAGCTAGAGACCTGCACTCTGCCCTCATTACCCACAGTTCGTCCTCTAGAATAAACAGCATTGTACTGTTTTCTCAGCTGCCTTAAACATAGGGGAAGCAATGGGATGTGAAGCAAATGTCAAATGCCATCCTCAGCTCTCTTCATCATACTATAGATCTTTGGGATGTACCTATAGATCTTTGGGATGTACCCCAACTGAAGGGACATGTGGAATTGCATCAAATCGTACTAACCCAATTACGAAGTTTAAACAAAGTGTTTTCCCTAGGTTTCCAATTTTGCTAAGAATCCAGCAAAAGTACAACACTCTTTCTTGAAATATTATTTAACAGTAAAACCTCACAACCCTATTTGAGCAAAAGGCTTACATGCCAACTTGTAATGGCAACATCTGAAATCTGTGTATAACCGAACAGGACATTTGGGGGGGGGGGGTTTAAATTTAAGAAAAAAGCATTCCAAATGCGAATAGTCAGCACGCTTTGAAGGATTCAAAGAGTCGCTGTTTAGCTGTTTTTCTCCCGGGTACTCAAAAGCACCTGAGCTGCAGTTCCCAGATCAGCCACCTCTGCAGAGTGTCTACTGTACCTGTATGCGGCAATCTCAATATCAAGGGCCATCTTGACATTGAGGAGGTCCTGGTATTCCCTCAAATGACGGGCCATTTCCCATTTTGTACCTCTCAGTTCATTTTCCAGCTGCTGAATCGTCTCCTGCAAGCAAGACACAAATGATTCTTTAAGAAGTTACAAGAGATATTTACATTCACGAGAAAGGAGGAATGTGGACTGGAAGGAGGTGGTGTGCTGGTAAAAGAATTCAGCTACTAAACTACAGGGTATGACTTCATCTCCCCACTCTGACCAGCCTGTGTTGGACAGACTCTGTCTGGGTTTGGTCCCTGATGAGCCCATTTCTGCATCTGTTATCTTAAGTTTTGAATCCGAAAACTACAAGCACGTTTTGATTCAGCATTCAGTATGTGGCTGCTCCTTAGCTGGATAAAAGACTCTCCCTTGAAATCTTATTTAAAAGCTAAACATGACAACTCAGCCTAGGTCAAGCACTTAGATGTCAGCTAGTTTGGGCAATATCTTAACCAAGTTGTGGGTCAATAGGCCAGAATTTTAAAAAGAGCCTTCACTTTTCTTTCTCATTTCAGGGGAAAAAATGGGGACAATCTTCATGCTTTAAAATATTTCTTTTGAGTTCTGGAAGTTTATATTTTTGTTCTCTTCTTCCTCCAAAGAGCTTAGTGGATCATATACTTGCCCCATTACTCTTCACAACAGCCTTGTGAGGCAGGTTAAAGACTAGTCCAGGGTTACCTAGTAAGCTTCATGGCTGGGTTGGGTTTTGAACTCAAGTCTCCTTGGTACCCTGAGTCCAGCATTGCCCCATACAAATTCCCTGAAATATCTGGTAAAAATAATTCAGTCAAATTCTTCAGCTTCTTAAACTGGACTTGAGTTGATGAATGTCACATTCCTAAACACATTTACTTGAAAGCAAGCTCCAGTAATCATGCTAAGGAATGACGCTTTCCATATGAAGGTATTTCTGAAGTTGGTTGCTTCCTGTAGTGAATAGGATTCAGGTGCCTTTTGATCCAAACCTCTCTTTAAAATGGCCATCTGATCATTTTTAAGCCTGAGATTGATAAGATCATACACTCATGGCCATAAGTAAAATACAAAACTTTACAGAAAATCCAATAGACAGTTAAATGATTAGAATTCAGCATGGAGGTTTTGAATCAAATATTTTGATGGACATTTGATAAAGTTCTGTCTTTTACTGCTATACTTTCCCTTCTAAAGATGCAGTCGACGCTGCATTGAAATCGAAAACGAACTGTCTACATCTCTCAGTGGGGCTGCCTGCAGTCTCATTTAACAGCAATAAACAGAGGAAAAGGGGATGGAAAAGGCTTTCAATATTTTCCTATACAAAATAAATCTAGATTAAGATCCCACTTCTAAACCCATAGGCTTGGGTCCAAACAGAACAAATTTCCCACATCCATGGGGAGGGGGGGAAATCTCCTGAATGTTGAAACATTTTATAGAATTGCTTTTTTGGAGGTACCATGGACTGTTGCCAGAGAGGATGTTGACAGTTTCCCTCCTATCATGTGTGCAGTTAAATGGAACCTTCATGTTCAGAGGCAGTATATCTCAGAATGTAAAAAAATGGGATGGATGGCAACTACTGAGCAAAGGCTTGGTCTCTGTGCCCCTGTGGTGGTGATTGGGGGGGGGGGAGTCCATAGCATCTGACTGGGAAACAAGATTCTGGACTAGACAGCCATTGGTCTGATCTTGGAGAACTCTTCTTATGCTCAAGACAAGTTTCTCCCACATTTCCAAGATGCAGATGTCCGTGTGTAAGATCAAAGATGTACTTTCTGCGTTGGAAGTTCTTGTCATTGGGGGAAGAAATGGTTAAAAATGGTTTTTGAAAAAAGGAACGAACCAGCTATGTGCCACATGGTCTCCCTTTTTTGTTCCAATGGTTCCCAGTCCCTCGGGAGCCTTTTCCTGAAAAGTTCTACTGAATTCGACCCCTGGTTTCAAACTTGCATTGCAAGGTTCAGATTTTCATTATGTAAAAGCACCCTGTCATTCAGAACCAAAGCGGTAACTGCCCAATAGCTTCACTCCATATGAAGCAATATTAGCTCCTAGGCTGGGCAGGGAAACCAATAGGAGTTCATTTTCATTTCTGCTTTGCCTGTGCAGTATATTTTGACAATGTTTTGCTGACTTTTGCATCAGTGCTTGCATTGTGTGAACACTTATGATACTGTTAGCCACATTTCATGCCATTTGTCTTTTGGTTCAGCTTCTGATTCATCTTTCCAATGCCCAGTTTTATGGGGGTGGAGCACGTTTTTCCTATCCAGCTTCATTTGCTGTGGTGCAGTGAGAATATCTGAAAAGCGGCACTGACAGGACCATTTTACGACTTCCCCAGTGCCAGCAATTTCTGCATTGCAGAACTTCAGGATGCACTTGGTGGGGGTGAAAAAATCCCCTCCCTTCTGACATTGTGATGTTTGGCTCATTTTAGTTGTATTCTTCTTTCCCTCCCCCAAAGCTAATTCCCTGGGGTGCCGACAAATCCCTTCTGCAATGGCAGAGATTATCTACAAGTCTGCAGTGTTGCCCTGGTGGAGTGGACTGACTTGCCCTCCCCTATTGCCAATAAAAGAAAAGCAGAGAATCATACTGCTTCCTATCCCAAAGGAGCTGGTTTAGAGGGCTGCTTGCCTCTTGTGCTGGATGGCTTCATTTGACTAGCTGCTCAGCACAAATAGCTGCTGCATTGCAGAAGTTCATTAGGCAGGAGCACAAGGGCATTTTGCAGCAGCTGTTTATCACGGCACCAGAAGCCGAACCCAGGTGGCTGGATGGACTTTCTTTACATTTTGATTCATCCTAGGAAAAGTCTCCTGTGCTGGGCTCAGTTTCACCGAGTAAGAATAATTATGGTTCTGTCCCACTAGCACTAGTTTAGTCTTTCACAAACTCTCCCCACATGATTTGATGTCATGCAGCGCTTTTAAATATTTCTTGTTATCCTTCTCTTCCATGTCTTTCTCCCAAATATTATTGCAAGTTGTCAGAAGTTAGGGTTATGTCTCTAGAAAAGTAACCAGTACATGCAAATAATAATAATATGTAATAGAACACTTGTGATTTACAGTTTTCACATGAGGTAGGTGTTAGTGTTATTCTTTTACGACTATGCTTTTCCAAGGCACATCTCCATTTACATCACAGCAATGCCATTGTACTGAATAGGATTACTGTAAAGGTTCTGGCTTGTAACCCTCCGCAATAGGAGCCAAGGATATGGGTGGGAGCAGTTTTTGCAGGGCTGGTGCAAGATAGTCAGCATTTACTGGTGCAGAGAACTTTGGCAGAGATATTTTGCAAGCTCATTCTTTTCTTCCGCCCACAGCCGGTTCTGCAGCACCTTCTAGCCTTTCCCTGCACTGCTAGAGAGACTTGTTCAGAAGTCACATTCTGCATTGGGAATGAAATTCCCTGCCTGGTAGCTGTACTGGTCCACTGCAGCGAAAACACAAGAAAACTCCCATGACCCCTTAAAGACCACAGCATTGATTGTCGCATCAGCTTGAGCCAGCGGACTTAAGCCTGGAAAAGCTGGAGCAGCAACAACAGATGTGTTAGTCTTCAAGGCGTTGGCTTTTGTATGTCAAGGAAGTTCACCAGCACCAGCTTTTTGCCAGCTCTTTCCCACTACCCAAGTCAAGTCCTTGGAATAAGTCCCCTAGGTTTTTATTTGCAGCCGAACCCATTTACATGAAAGTAAGTTCCAGACTCCCACCAAATCCCTTCTGCAGAGGAAGTGGGTGCCTCTGTTCTGTAGGGGGCAAGTTGCCTGGTTCTTCTCTCTCTCCTCCCTCCGAGTTCCACGTGGGCAAGCACCCCCCCACCCCACCCCTCGAGAGATCAGAGCTTAGGAGGATCCAGGGTGACAGCTCACTTCCCATCACCGCTCCCTCCATCCCAAGAGGGAGGGCATCATGACTGAGCATCCAGCGACCGAAGAGTTCCGTGCCATTCAAAAACTTTGAAAGCCATTTCCCTGAAGTGGTCGTTCGCTATCCCACCCCCAGCCCGTTCAAGGTTTTATTCCCGATAGCCCCACCATACACATCTTTATCCTGGCAGGCATTCTGCAAGAGCATCCTGCCCCGCCCGCCCTCCTCGCAGGGGTGAGCAGCAGGGTCTTCTTCTGGAGGACTCTCCACCCCCGCCCCCTTCTTTTGGATTGGGCAACCCCCACTTGGCGCGGAGGCAGGCGAGACGTACACGCCCCGGGGGCGTCGCCCCCATTCCCAAATCTGCCTGGTTCGCTATTATTGGGAGGGGAGGCAGCTAGCTCCTCCCTTTCGCATTGCTGCTCCTCCCCCCCACCCCCAAGTTGCCTTTTCGTCGTCCGGCCGTAGCAAGCAGCCTTCTCTCCCCTCCCCTCCGCCGGGCGCCTACCTGGTAAGTGGAGAGGTCTTGGTTGTGTCGCTCCTCGATGTCGTTCAGCTGGCGGTCGAGGGACTCCTTGGTACCGCGGACGGATTCCAGCTCGATGCTCTTGGCCTGGAGCTGCCGTCGGTACTCGGCGATCTCCTCTTTGGCCGAGCGGATGGCCTCCTTGTTGGCCTCGGCGGCCTCGGTGAGCTTGGCGTAGCGGCACTTGAACCACTCCTCGGCCTGGACCATGTTCTGGTCGGAGTGGCACTCGAGCTGGGAGCGGATCTCCTTGAGGGCGGCCGTCAGGTCGGTCTTCACGTAGTCCTTGCGCTCGACGGTGACGTGCGAGGCCTGGATCTGGGCCAGCAGGTCGGTCACCTCGTCCTCGTGGTTGCCGCGGAGGAAGGCCACCTCGTCCTGCAGGGACTGCACCTTCTTGTCCAGCTCGACCTTGACCATCGACGCCTCCTCGATGTCCTTGCGGAGGGCGCGGATGATGGCCTCGGTGTCCTCGCGGAGGCGGGCCTCATCCTCGAAGCGCTCCTTGATGCGCTGGATGTCCTCCTCCAGGTGCTCGGAGTCGAGCTGCAGCGCCGCCTTCTCGTGGTTGACCTGCTCGAGGACGCAGCGCAGCTCCCGCAGCTCCTGCTCGAAGGCGTCGCCCAGCAGCGAGCGGCCCGCCTGCTTCTGCCGCAGCGCCCCGATCTCGCTCTCCAGCTCCTTGTTCTGCTGCTCCAGCGAGTGCACCTTCTCGATGTAGCCGGCGAAGCGGTCGTTCAGGCCCTGCAGCTGCTCCTTCTCGTTGGCCCGGCTCAGCTTGAAGTCCCCGCCGCCGCCGCCGCCCCCGCCGCCGTTGAAGAGCGACGACTGGCTCAGCTCCAGGCTCTCCGAGGAGCTCAGCACCGTCGAGCCGTACGAAGCCCGCGGCGCGCCCAGGTTGCGCTTGTAGGAGGAGGAGACGGTGCTGGGCGAGCCCCGCGACCATGACTGGGACCTGAAGCCGCTCGACGGCGACACGCTGGCCCGGCTGAAGGCGGTCCGGCTCTCGGCCACCCGCCGGTACGACGGGTTGCTCAGAGGCTCCAGCGTGTAGCTCATCTTGGAAGACTGGAAGGAGGAGGGGCGCTTTGCGCGGATTTCCCGGCAGCGGGGACTCTGCAGAAGGCAGCGCCTTATATACCCGAGCGGCACGCTGCCTTCCAAGAGGCGGGCCGGCGGGAGAGACGTCGCCGGGAAAGGAGGAGCCGCCGGCCTTAGGCCCCTCCCCCCGAGTCTGCCCCGCCCCCTTCCCTCCGTTTCTCTCTCGGCGAGACGCGCCCGAATCCCGGGCCTGCCCTGCCCTCTCCCTCCCCCTTCCCGCCACCCTTCCTTCCGTGCTTCCTCTGTGTCTTTCCTTCCTTGGCCACAATTCACTTCTTCATTCCTTCTCCACTGGGATGCTGATGTCTATTATTCGCTTCTCCTCTTTTCTTTCCCCCAGTACTAACCCGCTTCCCTTGTCTCCTCATTTCGGATGCATTTCTCTCGTCTGTCTCCTATTCCCCTTTGCCTTCTTGCTCCCCTCCCCCCCATCATTCTCCCCCCCACACATCTTTTCCCCTTCGGATACTGCTGGGATCGGAGCTCCGTGGAGGAGGAGGAGGGCCCATCCCCCCCCCCACCTTCCAGCAAAGAGGCCACCTGGTCCGAAGACGACGGGATAGAAAGGGTGGTGGCGGCGTAGGTGGCTGCTGGATCTCTCCTAAGGTGACCCAAGCAGGCCGTCTACGTTGGGGGTTGGGTGGTGATCTGGCGCAGAAGGGCTTGGGCGGGCAGGTAAGGCGTGTGTGTGTCTGTCTGGGGAAGTCATGGCGGCTTCAGCACCAAGGCCAGCGCCTCAGGCAGAAGCCGGCGCGGCCAGGGAGAGGGAGAAAGAGGGACGCAATAAAAGCCGCCCCGCGTGTCTTAGTGTCTGTGGTGCCTGATGTCGCTTCGAAAGGGACCTTGCGGCGCCCTAATCCTCCTGCCGATTGTTTGCAGGGACTTGATAGTCGAGTTTGTTCTCCATCTGCAATGCAGAGCAGCAGAAGGGGCCGAAGGGATGAGCTTTCTTTCCCCCTCTGCTTCCTCCTTCACCACCCATTCTTAGCATGAGAGAGGTGCCCGTTGTAAAAAGGGGTCGCGGTACGCAAGTGGCCGTAGTTAAGATCTCTTTCTAGGACCTGACATTGTGAAAGGTCAGACTGGCATGGGGGGGGGGAGATCCAAAGGGAAGGGCTGAGTTAGGAGAGGACACAAGGACTCCAGCCGTTGAGAGACTGGCAGTACAGAAGATCAGGACAATCCATCAGGTTACCACTGTGTGGATATTGCTTTCTCAAAAGCAGTCTTCTTTAATGGCAGCACTGAGTCATCTTTATAATATCTCAGGGATGTTTTTAAAAAACTTTGCCTCTACTTCTCATCCATTTCTCCTCCCTCGGTTCCTCCACCACCCACCTTAAGCTATTACACCTCCCACTCAGCACTTTAAAAAATACATGCATGGTTTCCTTTTTGCTTTTTTTTGTTCTTCTTTGGCATGCAAAATAAGAACGGCATTTTTTGTGATGCAGATTCCAATCCACAAGTCACTGGTTTTGTAGCCACTCCCCTCCCATTTACTTGAACTGCTCATGAACTGGATCCTCTGCATAATGTTAGCATCAACCGATAGGATGACTTTTATTCAGAAAGGGGGCTGGCATGTTGTAAGTCACTGTATAAAGTGAGAATTGATTACTGAAAAGGAGGGAGACCCCCAGCCCCCATGTTAAAACCAGCTAGTCCTGAGAACATCTGTGCAGCAAGTCTCATTGCATTGCTTTACTTCGAAGTAGGCATGCATAATTATGTAGCCCTACTCAGAATTATGTTACAGCTTTTTCTTTGGGAGGGTCTCAGAGCATGCATGCAGAACTGTAATAACAGCCCCTGCTTGCAGGTCTCTTGTTTAATTCTTATATCAGATGCTGCTGCTTTGTTTCATGGTGGGATTTTTTTCGAAGTTGGAAGGGCAGGGATAAACTTTGCAAGCCAATCAGGAAGCCCAGGCTGCTGTTGGTTCATTGATATGATGTTGTCATAGAACTGCAGTACTGCAGTCAGTGGGAAAAGGCAGGAGGTCTGGCAGGCTTCTTCTGGATGTCTGCATCCAGCTACCATTTAATTTTCTTGCCGCTGTATATATATGATCACAGAAGTCACATTTAAGGGTCATCACATCATTCAATTTGTTTAATTTTTTTGTATAGTGTTCTGATTTCAAAATGTTTTCCAGTTACTCTTGCCCAAAAATGTCTTTGTAGGAATAAAACTTACAGTCATAGGTTCTACAATAAACAATTTGCTAGACATAATGCCAAATAGCAGGATCCCTGAAGATGCAATCCTTTACACTGGGGAATCTGCCCCACTGAGCATTGGGGTTGACTTCTGAGTTTGGATTGTACAGCTGACATCACACTCAGGGTGCTTATATAAATAAATGAATAACAATAATCCTATCCAAACTTACTTGAGAGTAAGCTCTACCGAAATAAAGGGGTCTTGCTTCTACATAAACATGCCTAAGTTTGGGCTGTTAAACCAAATTAATCTAACCCCTTGCAAGTTAATGCAGATTTAAATGTGTCTGCAGCTTCGTATTTACTTAGAAGTAAGCCTCATGGATTTCAAGTGTAACTTCTGCTTAAGTGTTTTTATGATGTCAGGATAAGCTTGCATGAGTTCATCCACTTCAGATTAATTGGTTTTTGAATTAAACTTCTGGTTTCTTTTTTGTGGCGGATCTGTCTATTTTACTGTTTGATTACAGAATGCCAGCATACTGAATATAGGAATAACTATCCATCCAAAAGGATAATATATGGGGGGGGGAGCTTTGCAATGGAGGGTGGAACTTTAAATGCAGAGAAGAAGCTGATGCTGCAGAAATGTACTGAAGCCCTATCTTGATTTCACAACCCAATTTGTTTTGTTGCATTGAGTGCTCTGATGTATAGATTGCATGAGAGTCAGTCTAATATAAAGAAATACTTATGGAAATATTTTTGAAATTTGAAAATGCCTCTTTCAGTGATTTCAGTGCAGTTATGTCCATAGCTCAGCCTTTTCCACTTTGAAAAAAGTGGATAGTTGTTTTAATGACTGCTAACCCACATTCTTTCAAGAAGTCTAATTAAAGGCAATCACAGCTTAAAATCAAGTAGATTGCAACCTATTGCGGTGAGAAGCATACATTGATATAAAAATGTATATAGGAAGTAGCTTCACAGGAACAAAATAGGCAGGATTTATGCCTTCTTTGACATGATCTCTGCTCTATCAAAATGATTGGGCAGGAATTACTCCTGTGGTTCTCTGAAGGTAATCTGAAGGTGAAAGTGAATTTGTGGGATGTTCCCAGGTAACTTCAAAGAAACTGGTTCCTTTTTTAAATATCAGTAGCTGTGATCCCACATGCAGTCTGTCTGCCTGTTGGCTTCACTGGAATTTAAATAGATTAACTGTGTGCAGGATCATGGTTAGTATCTGTTGCATTTCTAGAGACTGAACAACTTTTATTTCCATGTAAAAATGCATTTACTTGGAGTGAAATCCCAGTGGTTAAAACAACCTCCCTTCCAAGCCTAGGATCTTCATATGTTAAGATGTGCAAGGTTTGTTTTTTTAGAAGTGAAAAGCCGCTATTCAAATAAAACAGTGCATTTTATGTAGAGATAAAGGAACATTTGTTTTTAATTTTGCATCAATAACATCATGTTTCAGTGGAAGGACAGTAGAAAACCAATGCAGATGTTTGCTGCTCTATTGTTTAATAATAAACCATGACTGGGAACTAGAACATCCTGTCATGAAGATCCTTAATTTTGCTTGCCAGTGGGAGAGTAAAATGATGGGAGTCTTTTGTTGCTAATTTTTCAGTTGTTAGTCTTATAATTTGGGAAGATCTTCCACTAATTGTTCAGAAGGCCCCATCTCATTCAGTTTTTCCAAAGTCCTGCAAGGCTGTTCTGTCTGATAGAACCCCCCCCCCCTCACCATACCAGGGCAGAACCAGTCTCATCAGATCTTGGAAACTAAGCAGGGTCGACTCTGGCAAGTACTTGGGTGGGAGACCTCCTTGGAATACCAGCAGTCGGGAGACGAGGGCAGGCTTTATTCAGCCAACCCTCTGAATATCCTCCAGGCCCCCAGTAGGGGTCAGTCCCCAGAGGTCGCCATGACTTCCAGGTGCATGCGTGTGCACACACACACGCACATATGAAAAATACAAAAAATACCCACCCACCCCCAAAGACCTGGGTTGCTTTGCAGATGAAAGCAATGACAAGTCACCTCTGCCCCCCTTCTAGCCTTGAAAAACCCATACTGGTTGTGACTTGATGGCAGTTAATTGTTCATCTGGGATGGCACAGGCTAGCCTAATCACTTCATCAGATCTCAGAAGCTAAGCAGGGTCAGCCCTGGTTAGTATTTGGATGGGAGACCATCATCAGTCCAGGGCTGCTATGCAGAGGCAGGCCATGGCAAATTATCTCAGTTTGTGTTTTGCCTCGAAAGCCCCATGGGGTTGTCATCAGTTGGCTGCAGCTTGACAGCACTTCCCACCACATGTATTGTAGGCTTAGTGTGTAATGTTTCATGGTTGGTGGTTTGTTGTGCAAACTGGATATTGTCGTTGTTTCCATTGTAAACCACCCTGAGTTTTTATGGAAGGTTGGAGTATACATCTTTTAATAAATAAATCTAAGGAATCAATCGGATAACTTGTACAATGTTTATCACTGTGATAGGTGGGGGACACAGGGGCTGACCCCACCCCAAGATTATTTTCAATAAAGTGCTGCAGCCAGTATCAGGGAAGATATGGAGGGTTTACCCTGATTGTAACCCTGTGCTGAGAACTGTACTTTTATTGTATCATCAGAATGGAAAATAACTTTTCATTTAAGACTATAAGAGAGATTAAACCTGCCTCTTACTGCTGTTTCTGTCTGCACAGCCACAGCCACGTCCTGCATTTTGCTTCTTGGTCATTCTGGAATGCTGGGAACTGTATGAGCAGATAGAGATTAAGCAAAAAAGTTGATGGGATCCAACCATGAGGTCGTC